TCCATGTCAATACAGGCCTTGTATATTAAATAGACACAAGTTAAGTGTAAAGGGAGTCCCTCAGATAATGTGAGTTACATACCACACCACGGCGCATTAGGGACTTGGTTTGTATCATCGTCCTATAGTGGTCACATCTTTCTTAAGCCCAGGGGAGGCAGGCACATATTCCCCACTAATGCAAAGAGGAGAAAAAACTCACTACCACACATGATGTAATAAAATTCACATTCTAAGCCCAGTGTGGTGGCGCACACCTTTGATCCCAGCACTTGGGAGGCAGAACTAGGGTGAACTCTGTGAATTCAAGGCCAGCCTGGTCTACATAGCAAGTTCCAGGCCAGCCCAGGATACCTAGTGAGACTCTGTCTCTAATTAATGAACTAACTAATTAATTTTAAATTCAAATGGCAATGTTTGATTTTTTTTTTCATGTGTGCATGTGAAGTTGGAGGGGTCAGTTCTCTCCTTCCCTGCTGTGGGTCCTGGGTGTGGAACTCAAAGTCAACAGACAGCAAGCCCCTTTACTGGCTGAGCCATCTCACCAGCCCTGCTTATGACTTTTTTTTTTTTTGACAGGGACTCACTGTGTAGACTAGACTGGCCTCAAACTCACAGAGATCTGCCTGCCCATTTCCTGAGTGCCGGAATCAAAGGCACGTGACACCATGCTGGACCTCTGTTTATTAATTTTAAAATACTGTTATTAGGGGCTGGAGAGATGACTCAGCTGTTAAGAGCACTTCTTGTCCTTCTAGAAGACTCAAGTCTGGTTCTCAACACCCATGTTAGGAAACTCACAGCCACCTGTAACTTCAGCTCCAGGGGATCTGATGCCCTCTTCTGGCCTCCATAGGCACCCATACTCTCTCACACACATATATTTCAAAACATTAAATTCTGAACAATAGTGTCTTAGGGTTTCTATTGCTGTGAAGACACACCATGACCACAGCAAATCTTATAAGAGAAAAACGTTTAATCATTTTTCTTACAGTTTCAGAGGTTCAGTCCATTATCAACATGGTGGGAGCATGGCGGTGTGCAGGCAGACATTAGCTGAGAGTCCTAAATCTTGCAGGCAACAGGAAGTTGACTGAGACACTGGGCCATATCCTGAGCACAAGAAACCTTAAAGCCCGCCCCTATAGTGACACACTTCCTCCAACAAGGCCACACCCACTCCAACAAAGCCACACCTCCTAATAGTACCACTCCCTAAGAGATTATGGCGGCCAATTACATTAAAACTACCACAAATACCATCAAATATTAAAATAACTGCCACTTTTGATGCTTTGTACCCCTGAAACAGCCTTCTTCTTAAACTGAAGAATTCTTTTTTGAAACAGGGTCCTTAAACTGTATCATGCGATCAATTGTACAAGGAATTCCCAATTGCAGGTAAGTTCTTATGTGAAGTATAACACATTCATTTGAATTTTTCATGGGCCAGCCACAATACCACCACATGCAGGAACACACACTGGCGTGAGGCAGCTGTCTGGGAGACAACATTTGGCCCTGGGAACTCTGCCTCCCAGTTTTTTTTCTATTTCCTTGAACTCCCGATTCTCCTGCCTCAGTCTGGAGCTGGGATGACAGGAGCATACCACCACACCTGATTTGGTCATGTGACTTTGGTCAAAGGGATATCAGCAAGTCTGATGCAGCAGGAATGATTCCTTTCAAGATGCTGCAATCTCTTGGAGCCCTTACTGTGCTGGCTACTTTTAAGAGAGAGGAGGGAACTTCAACTGAGAAAACATCTCCATAAGATTGGGTTGTAGGCAAGCCTGTAGAACATTTTCTTAGTGATTGATGGGGGAGGGTGGAGCCCATGGTGGGTGGTGCCATCGCTGGGCACCATAAGAAAGCAGGCTGAGCAAGCTGTAAAGAGTAAGCCAGTAAGCATCACTCCTCCCTTGCTTGAGTTCCTGTCCTGACTTCCTTCTGTGATGAACAGGGACGTGGAAGTGAAAGCCAAATGAACCCTTTTCCTTCCTATGTTGCTTTTGGTCATGCATGGCATTTCATCACAGCAATAGAGACCCTAGGAACTCACTGTAGAGACCCCCCTGTCCTCATGGACTACATGAACAGATTCTTGGCTCACTTGGTTCAAGTACAGATTCTTGCCAGTACTCAGCTGAGTTATCATACCTGTGACTGATTCAGTATTTGGGTTCCAGCATAAGCTCCCAGCTGACCTCAGCCATCAGAGTGACCAAAGCAAGATACTTCCAGGGGAGCCCAGTCCAGGCTTCCAGCAGAGCCACAGGCAGTGGTGAGGTAAGCATTCGAAGCCCCCTGCTGGGTTGCACTGGCCCTAAGATGCACTAATGTGGTGTAGTACTTATTTCTCTTCTGTGGCCTGTGAGAAACAACTAAGGGAAGTGTTTGGCTCACGGTTTCAGAGGATTTGGTGCACAAATCCACTGTGACTCACAGCTGTCAAGGGACTAGGAGCACATGACAGAAAAGCTTCTTCGTGACTAGCAGGGAGCTGGGAGAGGCATAGGAAGAGGCCCCAGGAGCCTGTCTCCAAAGACCTAATTTGTCCAACTAGACTCCGCCTGACCTTTGACCATCTCCCAGTAATATCATATACTGGGAATCAATCAAAGGGCGTGCCTTTCCCTCCCTCAGGACCCTCACCACCTCATCTCTGGACATGCCCTCTCAGACACACCCAGAGATGTGCTCCATCTCCTAAATGCTTCCTAATCCAGAACGAACTATTGCACATAGTTTGTGGCTCAAGACATTCCGAGGCGAGAGACTCTGGTGGGCAAAGGGCTATCTGGAGCGGGGACTCTGGGTAACTCAGTGGGGTAGACCGACCAATGGCTACAGGGAGAATCTGAGGAGGGTTGGCAGAGGTCCTGTCTTGCTTTGAGTTTCTTTGGACAGATGCCGAGAATGCCTAAATGGCAAAGAAAACAGGTGGGGGGCTGGCACAACCGTTTACAGCTAGGGAAGGCCAGGGAAGAAAGGCTGTATTACCAAGTGCCTTGGGAGTCAGAGCTTCAGTCTGCTGAGGGCTTCAGGGAGCCTGAGCAACCATGCACTTCAGACTTTTAATGCGACAATGTGGGGCCTGGGGCATTTTACATATCACCTCCTGACTTCTTAGGTTAGAGCAGGAAGTGGGTATGATATTGACTTCCTTCCTTCCTTCTTCCTTTTCTCCCCCCCCCCGCCCCCCGGTTTTTCGAGACAGGTTTTCTCTCTAGTTTTAGAGCCTGTCTTGGTACTAGCTCTTGTAGTCCAGGCTGGCCTCGAACTCACAAAGATCTGCCTGCCTCTGCCTCCCGAGTGCTGGGATTAAAGGTGTGTGCCACCACCGCCTGGTTTCTCTCCCTCCTTTTAATTTTAAAATTAAAAAAGATGGTGCTGGAGAGATGGCTCAGGAGTGAAGAGCACAGGCTGCACTTCCAGTGGACCTGGGTTCAGTTCCCAGCACCCACATGACAGCTCACAACTGTAACTCCAGTTCCAGGGAATCTGACACCTTCACACCAATGCACATAAAATAAATATTAAAATTAAATTTAAAAAGAAATTGAGATTTTTTTCTTTATAGTCCAGACTCAACTCAAACTTGAATGGTGGAATTACATGACTATGCCATCACCCCCAAATTTTTTGCTTGGCTGTTTTTAGACAAGGCCTCATTATGTGTTTTTAGCTGTTCTAAAACTGGCTAGGAGCTGGGCGGTGGTGGCGCACGCCTTTAATCCCAGCACTCGGGACGCAGAGGCAGGTGGATCTCTGTGAGTTCGAGACCAGCCTGGTTTACAAGAGCTAGTTCCAGGACAGGAACCAAAAAGCTACGGAGAAACCCTGTCTCGAAAATCAAAAAGAAAAAAGAAAAACTGGCTAGGCAGCCGAGGGTGGCCTTGAACTCAGAGATCTGCCTGCCTTTGCTTCCTATGCCACCATGCCTGCCAATAGAAGGGATTAGTCTGCCAATGAAGCACACCCCAGCCCTCCTGGTGGGTTCCAGGCAGGGGCTCTACCACTAAGCCACAATGCCAGTCCCTCACTAGGGGATTCTAAGAAAGGACACTGGAGCTGAGCCACCCCCCAGCCTGGGAAGCTCCAGCTTCCAAGTCTTCTCACAGCCTTTGTTGCTGTCTTGTTTGAGACCAGGTCTCAGTATGCAGCTCTGGCTGTCCTCACTATGTAGACCAGGCTGGTCTTGAACTCACAGAGACCCGTTTGCCTCTGCTTCTCCTGTGCTGGGATTAAAGGTGTGCACCACAACACTCAGCTTGTCTTCTCCTCATGTTTTACACAGAGGGCTGGGCACCAGCTGCCTGCAAATGTCAGTAGCAGGAAGGAACAGCCATCTCAAAACCAGACTCTAATATCTTCATCAGACATTAGATCTGATGATACCTTGATCCTGGACTCCCCAGCCTTTACCCCACCCAAATGCGGCCCCCTTCCTGCACCCACCACACAGCTTGAGGCCAGATCGAGTTTTATTGGGAGCTACAATGACACACAGATCAAGGGGAACAGTTCACTGGGCAGGCTGGGGGCTGGGCACTGAGTGATAAATGACAATGCAGCCAGGACTTGGGGCACACTAATCTCAGGGGGACTTCTGACATCTCAGGGGTGCGGGTCCAGGAAAGTAGTCCTGATGGGATGGTCCTAGAATGCCTCAAACCCCACGAGGCTCCACTGGAACTTCTAGGGGTGTAAGATGGAGTCCATGGAGGTGGTACTGTCTGATCCAAGTAGGAGAGAGGTAAGATTTCTAGGGTGTTTCACAGAAACAGACAAGTGGGCTCGATTTCACAGAAATCATCCAGATAGCCCCTTGTAGGGGAGAAGGATCACATGACCCCAAATATTGGGGACTGCTCACCTCTCCCAGTGCCACTTTGGGGTTTTAATGTAAGACCCTAATGGCAGGATAGTCCACATATATTATCACAAATTTGCGACATGAGCATACGCTGACTGTCCCACGGGACGGTGGGGACTGGAAAAATCAGTCCAGGTTCTGGATTTCAGTCCTAAGAGGACAAGCCTGGGGGTGCCGCACGGCTCCTCTTCAACAGCTGCCGGAGCTAGGAACAGAAGAGGCCGAGTGAGGTATGTGGGAGGCTGGGGTTACATACGGGAAGCTGAGGGGTGCCTAGGGCAGGGTTAGTGACAAGGAGAAACTGAGCAGGGTCAATCGGGTTGGAAGGTCACTGGTCATGTGTGGTCCATGCCTGTCATCCCACTACTTGGGGTGGCTGAGGCAGGAGAAGTGGGAGTCAGGAGTCATCCTGGGCTATACACTGAAACCCATGTGGGGTTTAGGGTGAACCTGGTAGACAGAAGTCAGAAAGATTTTGCTAGATGGGGTTCCCATCTTGGTCTCAGTATTGCTTAGGAGTGAAAGGGCAGAGGCAAGGGTCAGAAATTACATCTAAGGTCAGGATCCAGGGTTGGGGACAGCAATGCAGAGGTCTCACTGGGGACCAAAGGCCACAGTCTCAGCTCAAGATTCAGGGTTGAGAGTACAAAGGAAGCCAGAAGGAGGCGCCACACTGAAGGAGGGGGAGACTTAAGGTCAGAGGTCACTGTTTGTTTTTTTTTTTTTTTTGAGACTGTATAGTCCAGGCTAGCTCAAATTCTCACTGTTCCTGCCTTAGTCTTCCAAGAGTTGGGATTATAAGAGGACAGCACTCGACAAAGGTCACTCTTAGTGAAGAATGGAGAGGGACCAAGGTCACCCTCTGAGACCAAATCAGTGTTGGGTGCAGTTGGGGGACCCCCAATTAGCTCAGAAGTCAGGCCAGCACTTACCCCCTCAGGGCCCGGCCCAGGTCGCAACAAGTGAACGGGTTGCTCATTTTCCAGGTTGCGCAGTGTGGGGTCTGCTCCAGCAGCCAGCAAATGCCTCACGATGGCCTCCTGGGGTGGTCCAGGGGGCAGGGCCGCTGCCATGTGGAGGGCTGTGTTCCCATGGGCCTGGAACCGCAAAGGGGGGGCCTGGATCTCCGGATCCCGCCACATCCATAGCTCCCACCACCCTGCATAGCCACCCTCCACCCACCCTCCACATTGTCAGTCACAGCTCACAGGACTCAATTCTGCCCCCTGTGACTGAATCTCAAACCACCCACTGCACACCTCAGCCTATGTCCTACCTTCATGTTGACAAAGGCCCGCAGGTCCCCCCTTGGCAGCCCCAGGAGCAACTGAACCAGGGTAGGGTTGGCAGCCTGTACAGCCAAGTGCAGAATGGTCTTGTTGCTCTTGATCTCCTAAGAAGAGAAGAACTGTAGAAGTCAGGCCGGTCTTCCATCTACAGCCCCCATCCCTGCCCCAAGGAGTGCCTTACACAGTTGTATGTGTTGTGTACTATGTAAGACCATGGTTAAGGGAGGCCATTTGTAACATATGTGTCCTGTGTATATATGTCACATTCAATACGACAATTTTCTAGTCGGCCAACTTTCTGAGCTAGGAGTTATCCTGGCCACCTGACATCCTGTTGTGCTGCAGGACAAGGGTCTTTTATCCTGTCACTTGTATTATTTTAATAAAATGCTGATTGGCCAGTAGTCAGGCAGGAAGTACAGGTGGGGGTGACAAGAACAGGAGAATTCTGGGGAGAGGAAAGAGTCAGTCTGTGTAGTCACCCAGAGCCAGAGGAAGCAATGTGACTGCCTCGCTGAGAAAGGTACCAAGCCATATGGCTAACACAGACAGGAATTATGGGCTAATGTAAGTTATAAGAGTTAATAAGAAGCTTGAGTTACGAGGCCAACCAGTTTATGATTAATGTAGACCTCTGTGTGTCTCTTTGGGATGGAATGGCTGTGGGTCTGGGCTCTGTCAACACTATTGTACACACTAAAATGCACCGCCTCGTATGGACTGCACTGTATCGTAAGTACTGCCAGCAAACCTACATACAGCGAAACACTGGGCTTCCTACTTTCAGAGCACTGGTTCTCAACCTTCCTAATACTGCGACCTTTAACACAGTTCCACATTGTGATGACTGTCCCAATCAGAAGACTTTTTTCTTTTTATTTTATTTATTTATTTATTTTGGTTTTTCGAGACAGGGTTTCTCTGTGGCTTGGAGCCTGTCCTGGAACTAGCTCTGTAGACCAGGCTGGTCTCGAACTCACAGAGATCCGCCTGCCTCTGCCTCCCGAGTGCTGGGATTAAAGGCATGCACCACCACCATCTCCCGGCAGAAGACTTTTTTCATTGCTACTTCATAACTGTAATTTTGCTACTGCTATGAATCATAACGTAAACATCTGACATGCGGAATATCTGACATAAACCTCCGAAGGGGTTGAGACCTCTAGGTTGAGAATTGCTGTTTTAGAGGGAGACGTTTTCTATAATGAAACTTCACTACAAGCTTTAAAGGAGCTTAGGGTCTCCAGCCTTTATGCCCTCTACTGGAACATTCTAGGCAAATGCTCTACCACTGAGCCACATCCCAGCCCCTCACTGGGGATTCTAGACAGGGGCTCTACCACTGAGCCACACCCCAGCCCCTCACTGGGAATTCTAGGCAGGAGCTCTACCACTGAGCCACACCCCAACCCCTCATTGGGGGATTCTAGGCAGGGGCTCTACCACTGTAATAAGCATGAGGAAGCTCTAGGTTCCACTCTCAGCATCAAAAGAAAAAAAATAGAGGAAGGAAAAACAGTTACGGAAATAATTACAGGCTCGTATTTGCTTAAAAACAGCATAGCAGAGGGACTGGCTCCGGTGACCCAGCCAATCAGTCTGCACTTGGGAGGTGGAGGCAGAAGATGCTGAGTATGAGGTCAGTCTGGGATACACAAAGATACTGTGCCTTAAGTAAGAATAATAAAATAAATAATAATATAGGTTTGTGGAGAGCTTGCCTAGCCTGCATGAGACCCTGGGTAAAAGCCACACTGCCAGCAAAAACTTCAAACTAGAAGGAATGCGGGCGAGGACGGGACGGTGGCCGCGGCTGCGACGGCTGAGCCCTGATGGAGCGCTGGCTCACAGGGCACCGGACAACAGCCTCTGCACATCATCCATGTTCACATCTGCTTATTAAATACAGGGAAAGGGGTGGTGAGCTGGACAGTAGCCACAGTACCACCTCCATCCCTTGCTCAAAACCCTTGGCTGGAGAGATGGCTCAGTGGGTAAGAGCATTGCCTGCTCTTCCAAAGGTCCTGAGTTCAATTCCCAGCAACCACATGGTGGCTCACAAGCATCTGTAAAGAGGTCTGGTGCCCTCTTCTGGCCGGCAGACATACACACAGACAGAATATTGTATGCATAATAAATAAATATTTAAACAAAAAACAAACAAACAAACAAAAAAACCCTTGAACTAGAAACCGAATGTTTAAAATGAGACGATATTGAATTCCTTCAGCCTTCCTTTGAAGACACCACTACCACAGGACAGGGAGGGTTAAATATATAATTAGGAGCTGAGTTCTAAGGTCAGATCCACCCCCCCCCCAACTTGATTCTAAGTCCTTTTCTAGTACAGAAGCTGTAGGACATCTGAACCCTCGGGCCTCCGATTTCTCATCAGTAAAATATAGAAAACAGGAGTGCATGCCTAAAGGAGTGGGGACAAAGGGAGGCAAAAGACTGATCAGGTCACTTCGTGCTTGAGAAATCTAAGCTAAGGTCACTAATATCCACATGAACGAGGGCCTCAGAGAAGTGGGGGAACATATTCGGGGTTACACAGGAAGACGAGGCCAAGTCAGCGTGTGTGTTAGTGCCCTGCACATGTCTGCCCATCCCCCACCACCCAAGCTCACCTGGCTGGTATGACTGGCACCCATCTGCAGCAACATCTGCACACAAGCCAGTCTGTCTCGGGCTTGGGGACTCAGCATCCTCGGACAGACGCTAGGTAGGGGCATAGCAGCGTTGAGAGCCAGGGTGGCCGTGTGGAGAGGGGTGAGGCCTGTGAAACAGAACAGTGAGGGAGCTGCACCTGGGCATCCACCCTGACCAGTCCCCCTGCCTGCCAGCCACACCAGCCCTGGCCACGACCAGCTCACCTTCGAAGTCTCTGGCTTCCAGGTCCACTGGAATGCCCGATTTAAACACGGCCTGGAAGGAGAAGAGGAAGAGAGCTGTGGAAGGGTCCCCAAAACCTGGTCCTGGAAACCGGATCTGGATAACTAGCCCACCCCAGACATCCGGGATCTGCCAGCTGACCATACCGAAAGGACTCCTGGGAGCCCATAGGTGGCAGCCACATGCAAGACAGAACGGCCTTGATGGTCAGTAGCATTCACCTCCGCTCCCAGGCTCAGCAGGTCCTCCACAATCAGGGGCTGGTTGGCAGCAGCTGCCACCAGGAGCGGCGTCTGTAAGTCACAATCAAATCAGCCTGGACTCCCAGAGTCCTCCCCTCTGAAAGTCAGGTGCCCTCTTCCGCAGGTGGAGAAGTCTGGACTCCTGGCCCTTACCTTGCCTTTATGCTCACGAATATCCAGCTGTCGGTACATCTGTAACACCTCTGCCGCAGCATACGCTGCCCAGCGCAGTCCCCGAGCAGCAAACAGGTGCAAGAGCCTGTGGACAGGTGGGGGTGGGGGCAGTGTTGAGAACAGTCCCCCCCATCCCTGCAGGCAAGCCAGGAGTCTGCAGGTCATCCTGTCCCCCTAATACTTACGTGTCTCCTTCCTCATCCTGGGCCAGCAGCTGCTGTGGCCCCAAAGCCAGTATGTGAGCTCGGGCTGTCTCCAGGGAGGGTCCAGTGGATGGAGGCAACTGTGGGGATCCTGGGGGGACGCTAGAGACTCTCCAGGGTCCTACCTGTGACAGGGAAGGTTCTGGATACAGCCGGGTATCCAGAGAGTCCTGGGGAATTGGGGGGGGGGGGTCAGTCAGCTGAGAATCCTCATCACACAACACACAGCCCCTGGTCAAATGGGTGAGACCAGGGGCCTACATTTGCCAGTTGACTTTGAACCTTGGGACTTCACGTTTGCAACAATGAAGAAGGAATCTTTTTTTTTTTCTTCAATTCTCTTACCCCAGCAGTCTGACTGCTGAGATCATGAGCATGTACTGCAAAGACTAGCTTGTTTTCCTTTCTGCTTTGCTATACAGCCTAGACTGACTTCTAACTCATAACTAGTCAGCCCAAAATGGTGAGCCTCTTGCTTCTGGCCCCCAGGTGCGGAGACTACAAGCATAAGCAGTACACCCGGCTGGGGATGGAATCTTAACCAGTCCCTGAGATCAGAGAATACTGCATGGATGTAACCAAGCTTCTCCACTGCCCATCCCTGCCCCACGGAGAACCCATGGCCGCATACACGCATGCACGCACACACGCACACTAGGAGAGAGCTTGACCACAGAGTAATACTCCCAATGTTCTTTGTCTTTCACTTCTTATTTAGAGATGAGGTCTTACTAAGGCGCCTAGGGCAACCTTGAACTCATTCTGCAGCCCAGGCAGGTCTTGCCTTCTTCCTGCCTCTGCCTCCCGAGTAGCTGGGATGACAGGCCTACACCACTAGGCTTGGCACAACTGAGACCTTTTCAGGGGGCCCTTAAGTGTCTGTCCCCTCTATAGTTTACCTCCATCCCCAGAGGAAATGGGCCTGAGCGCCCCGGGTCTGACGGTGGGTAGAAGTCAGGAGTCAGGAAGCCTTCGGCAACAGAGTACGGGCAAGAGCTGTCTGTGTAGGCAGCATGGGTGCTAGGGTCCCAGTCTAGAAAGCCTGAAGGAGGAGGAGCCAGGTTGCCAGGTCCTGAATCCACAGTCTCTTCGAAGGTCGGGAAGTGAGTATGGCCTGGAAGTGAGAGGATGGGCAGGGACCAACCTGTTATCAGAGACTGGGAGACACGGCCAGGGACGGTGAACCTGGACTGTCCCAAGACTGTGAGCTAGGACTTTGGAGACACTGAGGAGTTGGGCCCTCCAGTCCTGGGAAATCAACAAGTTGGTCCAAAGCAACTGGGATCTGGACTCCTGGAATCACAAAACTCTGGGTCCTTAAGGACTATACACACAGACTGCTGCGCTACTGAAAACCAATGTGAAATTGCAGGGGTTTCTGTTTTGTTTTCTTTTTGGAGACGTGTCTTAGATAGTTCTAGGTGCCTAGAACTCACTAGTAAACATTATGACCTCAAACCCAACGGCAATCCTCCCTGCTCAACTTCTGGACTACTAGGAATACAGGTTGTGCTACTATGGCAGGCTGTCCATCAGAATTTCCCCTGTGTCTCAACCATAATGAGGGCTGGACTCCTCGGTCCCCAAAGTTCTAAGAGCTGAAGTGTCTAAGTGTCTAAGAGAAGTTGGGGTTGGGAATTTTCTGTTCTTACCTGCCTCTGCCTCCTTCACAGATGGGGTCAGTGGCTGGGCCAGGGGAGGGGAGAAGTGTCCCTACAGTGTACAGAAAATACAAACATGAGTAAATTTATATATCTGGAATTTAAGGTCTGTTTCCTGCCTGTAGAACATCAGAGTTAGGACTACAGCTCCCATATCCCCGAGCGCACATGGCTTCATGTGTGGTCCTATAGAGGAGGACTTGCAGAGACTCACCGGTACCCCACCAGCCTCAGGTTGCTGCTGACGGCGCCTCTGTTCTTCCAAGAGCTTCTTCACCGTCTGGGTTGGACAGTGGCTGCGCTCAGTCCGACTCACTGTGTGGGGGAAGACAGACGGAAGTCATCAGGAATGTTTAAGTCACACAAATGTACCCTTAGCGGCAGCGGTGGGCGGAGAAGAGTAGATGTGGGCGCCCTTCTTTCCCTCCCGCGTGGAAAAACTGGCACATTGATGCCGCCGGAGAACAACAAAGCCAATAGAAGCTGTTGAGGGCAGGGCCCGCCTCCGCCACTTCCTTCCTTTTACTCCACGCTTTCCACCAGCGTAGTGGAAACTGAGGAAGTGGGGAGGCTAGCACTCCTCTGAAGCATCTGTTTCCTCCTCGTCCCACTCCTCTGAAGCATCGCCACATCCGTAAAAAATCCCAACCTAGGGTAGCGGATCCTGAGGCTTGGATTGGAGGGTTGGGGGTCCTGCTAATCTCTACTTCCTGAAAAAGCTCATACGGGTTCCTAATGTCTCTGTTTTAAATTAGGAGTGACGGTACTCCCGCAATCCCAGCATTCTCGAGGTGGTAGCAGGAGCATCAGGTGCTCAAGGCCAGTCTCATCTACATACTAAGTTAGGGGTCAGCCTGAGCTATCTGAGACCCTGTCTCAAAATAACAACAAATTATTTTTCTGTTCTAGTATCTGACGTGTGGGGTTGGGGGCGTGGCTCCGTGGGTTAGGTATCGGCCTAGGGTCCTCAGCACGGAAGAAGGGAGCTGCTACTCTGGGGACCACCACTCTTGTCTCATCCTCTCTGCCAGGATCTACGAAATCAACAGCCACTAGCTCCTCAGGAACCCAGGGATCTGGAGTGGCAAATTCCCGCCCCCAGAAGTTGCGGGGACCCACCATCCCGCAGATGGCCATGCATCCCATAGATGCGGCATCCACTCATCCAGAACTCAGGAGTTCGGATCCTCAGTCTCCTTCTTGGGGACCTGGAAGTCCGGTTTCCACGACCCCAGAGAAAATCCCCCAGCTCAGGTTTCCGAGTTTAGACTCCGGCGCGAGAAGGGTTAAGCCTCCGATCGACTCGGAAACCTTCGAGACAGGACGCCACGCGCTGACGTCACCGCGCTCACGCAAGGGAATCTTCCACCTCCCAGTTCCGCTCCAGACTCGCGCTGCAGGTGTCCCGCTCGGAGGCGGGGCGCTCAGCGAAGCGCTGCGCCCGTGGAATCCCCGCTCACGGGGAATTCCTGTCCAGCCCGGGCACCCTGCACCGGCCGTGCTCTGGGAAATCCCAGGGCGGGGCAGGTCCCGTCCAGAATGGAACCCTCAGGTCCAGTGCCGGACCTTCGGAACCCAAATCTGCAACCATAACAGTACCTCAACGTTGCAGTGCCACCCCCTCCTTGGAGGAAAACTCCGGGTCCCTTCGTCCTCTTACAGGACCCCAGGATCAGGCCTCCCAGCCCTTGCATCCCAACCTCCAAGATTCCAGATCACTCTCTTAATTTCCAACACTCCCAAGACTCAGGAGTCCAGAATCTTCAGCCAGCTCCCTTAAACATTGAGAACAACCCTACTCTCAGGACCCAGTTCAAGGTTCCAGTCAACCCTCAAGCGCTCAGAAAGTCGCGTGCCTCGCTTTACCCCATTCTTACCTCGCGGATTCTTGGGTCCAGATTGCGGGCCCCCAGGGCCGCGACCTCGGCGCTGCGCCAGCCTCGCTGCTTCTCCCGCGGAGCCGCCGCCGGGTCCCCGATCTAAAGCCAGGATCCCCGCGAGTTTTTAAATTGGGGTTTTGACCACGCCCAGTTCAAGGAGGACCCCGCCCACAGTCCTTGGGAGTCCCCGATTTACCGCTAGAGCGAACTTATTCTCTGAATGGGAGGGGCTGACCTTGAAGGGTCTGATCACCTTGTCTCCTGGGAAGGAGGATGTTAGGGGTCCTGCCTCCAGGATAAAGGGGACATTGGGTGCCCGGAGTTTCTAGTCTGTGGCCAAGGGGACGCTGGAGGCCTTGACTTGGCTGTCCATAGGCAGGGCAGTGCTGTTGGGTCCTGGGGGAGAGTCCGGACCCCATGGTCTCCTGGAGAAGTCCTCAGGCAAGGGTCCTTTAGGCGGCTTAAATCTCTACCTCTTTGCACGTGGCCTTTCCCTTCCTTAGAGTCAACTTTCATTTATGACTCCCCACCCTTGCCCTTGGTTTCAGTTTTGATTTGTGGGGGGGGGGGTGTACAGAGAGGTAAAGGTTCCTGTAACCCAAGCTGGCCTAGAACTCTAGGTGACTGAAGAAAATCTTGAACTCGGCTTGACCCTCTTGCTCTCATCTCCCAAATGTCAGATTACAGATAGAGGCTACCACATCCAACTACCAATATTTGAGTGTTTTTGTTTTGTTTTGTTTTGAGACAGAATCTCATTATGTAGCTCTAGTTGTTTCGAAACTCTGAAGACCACGCTGGCCTTGAACTCACAGAGATCTGCCTGCTTCTGTCTCCCAAATGCTAGGATTAAAAGGTGTGAGCCACTATATATGGCTCTAATATTTGCTTTTAAAAAAATTGGTGTGTGTGTGTATATATGTGTGTGCACGTGTGTGTATGTGTGTGTGTGTGTGTGTGTGAGAGAGCTCCCTGGAGGTCAAAGAACACATATACTCTGAAGTCTGCTGTAGAAATGCTTCTTTGTTCTATGGATTCTGGGGCTCTAACATAGGTCAAGTACCTTCATCTGCTGAACCATCTCCCTAGGATCTTCCTATATAGCCATGGCTAGCCTGGCACTTGCTAAATCAGCCAGGATGGCCTTGAACTCAGAGCCATCTTCCCCCACGGTCTCCCCAGTGCTGAAATTACAGGCTTGGACCATCCTGCCAAGCTCGTTTATTCATCTTAAAAACTGTTAGCATAGAGGAGACACTTTGCTGGGCGCTTGGGATAGAGAGCTGTGAACCAAACAGGAATTCCCAGCCCACCAAGGGACTGACATTCTCAGTTCCCACTTGGTGACCTTCCTTGACACTTAACTGTACTGTTAAATGTCTCTCCTGATTTCAACATTCTGCCCAGCCTTGGGTCTCTCCCTCCCGCAGCTTCCTTAGCAGATTGCTGGTTCCCTCTCTCTCTTCTGGTAGTGCGTGTGTGTATGTGTGTGCGTGATGCATATATGTGCATATGTGTATATGTGCGTGTGTGTATGAGTGTGTATATATGTTTACACTTCTTTAATGAGCTCACACAGTCTGAGGGCTTTAAATGCTGTTTTTTAGCCATCAGCCTTCTCAGATTTACATGTCAGGACCCAACTGTGGACATTCACATCTCCAGAAAGCTCAATCAGGATTTCCAGCTCAGTGTGCCCACAAACAGGCAACCCTCTCTCCCTCCTAAACCAGCTCTTCCAAAACTTCTGTCACCCTCTCTCCATCTTTCTAATCTACTCAGGTTAGAAGCTACAGTCACCCTGGTCCCTTTCTAACACACACCCTCTCCAGCCCCAAATGTTATTGGTTTTGCTTCCAAAATATTTCCAGAATCTCACTCATGCCCACACTATGGTCCACCAGAAGCTTCTCTGGGTGGTCTGACTCCCCCAAATTTGTTACCCAAAGGAAGTCTTAAGGACACACATGTACCCACACACAGGAAGTAGGTAGTATAGTCACCAGCAGTGTGACATCCGTTCTAGCTACCTCTCTTTCTCCTCTACTGTTCTGAGGACTTCTCTGGACCACAGTCTTTGGCCAGATCCCTTCAGGCCCCAGTCCACCATGACCCCTCCAGGCTACCTCCTCGTGTTCCTGCTTCTGCTCCAAGGTGAAGCCAGCAGTTGGGGATTGAGGGGACAGAAAGGCTGCCATTTGATGTTGGGGTGCAGAGAGCAAGCCCTTCTCCTTGTGCCCTTTTCTTTCTTGAGAGCCACTGGTCTCAAGGTCTGGGTCCTTGAGGGTGGGGGTGGGGTTCTGGAGCTGTGCGCTCCTCTCCTCGCTGGGTGACTTCTAGTTCCCTTTTCTGGTCACTGTCTGTGCTCCAGGAAAGCCCCATTTCCCGTTTACCTCTCCAATGTGGAGCTCAGGTCCTTAGAATCCCACCCGCCCTGCGACCGTGTTGGGGACTTCTCCCCCCACCCCTATCCACCTTCTCTGTCTTCCACAGTGGCTGCAAGTCAGACGCCAGCAGGTGAGGAATGAACTTCAGCAGCCGCCTCCAATCCTGAAGTCTGATCCGCAGCACTCCCCTGTCTAGCGACATTTCCCAATCCCAGCCCTTTCCTGTCCATCTCGACTCTTTACCACACAATTGAAGTGATGGGAACAGAGACTCTTCTTAACAGATTCCTGGTGTGCCCAGGGTACAGCCCTCGGGGTTCTGTGACTTCCCAGCCCCTCTAAGCTCCCTCTCTCATTTCACTCCCTAATCCCAAAGAATCTGGAATCTTCTCTCTCTCTCTCTCTCTCTCTCTCTCTCTCTCTCTCTCTCTCTCTCTCTCTCTCTCGGGATCTTGCTGGGAGGAGCAAGGCTGGGGGGAGGGGGGGACGGACCGACGACGACGACGGGACAACAGGACTCTCTGTGGGCAAAGAGAAAGGTCTCAGCTGCCTGCAGGTCTGGGCTCTAACCCGCAGGTTCCTGCTCCGGATGTGGGCCTCTGTCCCTGCCGCTCCTGGCAGGCCTGGTGGCTGCAGATGCGGTCTTGTCCCTCCTGATCGTGGGGGTGGTGTTTGTATGTATGCGCCAACACAACAGGCCTGCCCACGGTGAGCAAACTCTGGGGTGGGGCCTGGAGAGTAGGTAGCAGTCCCCAGGGAAGAAGGGGGTCCCACAAAGGCAGTCCCCGGGGAAGCCCTGGAGGAGGTGCTTGGGAAACCCTGGGGGAGGTATCTGGGGAACCCCTGAGGAAGCCCCTGGTGCAGGGGGTCTCCCAGGAAGGTGATGTGGGAAGAGTGGTGGGTGGTCATGCTTCATGCTCCCTCTACCCCACCCACTAGACGACGGCAGAGTCTACATCAACATGCCTGGCAGAGGCTGACCTCTGCGACTTCTGACCCGCCCCGTCCTGGATCACGTGGGGGTACCTGGGAACACACTCCTTCCAGAATGGAATAAAGCTTTCAAATACCTCTAGTCTTGTTCTTCCCAACGTCTGACTTTTTCCCAGGGAGCTGTTTCCTGATTTAATACCATTCTCGGGGCCCCACTGTTACCCAACGCCCCACTACAACATAGCAGAACTCAGTCGTGGTTTTTTATTTGGGGACAGAAGTGGGGAGAGGCCAGACATCTCATGGGGGGTGGCACTGTGTGGATCTGCATCCCAGCAGTCCTGCTCACAGGGAGGGCTTGTTGAGCAGGCATCAGGAATGACTGGATCCAGGCATCAGGTTGCTGACCAGCATAGGGTGGGCTCATTTGTAATACTGCCTCTGTGTGTTAAGGTCACTGTAGACATCTGGCCTTTGGCCCTGAAGCTCCTAAAAAGACAGAAGCCATCATTGGAGTGGTCTTCGCAAGCAAAAAAAAAAAAAAAAAATCTAACCTCCTAATGACCTTCGAGGTCCCTGGCAGCTTCTTTAAACTTAAGATCATGAAAGAGATCCCAATTTTATTTAAATGTGCCCTGCGTTCCCCTTGCTTCCCTGCCCCAACATCAGGGCCTTTCCGTGTGCAGTTCCCTCTACCTGGAGCACCAACTCCCTAGATCTTCAACTCCTCCTTGTCTGTCTTTCTTGGACATTTCTTGGTTTCTTCATCTTTAGTCTCTTTCCCAACCCCACCATTTTCATATTGGCCTGCTTTATTCTCTCCATAATGTTCTCCCAAAATGATTTTGTTAATTGCTTCAAATCAGTCTCTCCAATTAGGATGCTGGGCGGACCCATGTAGGTCTCAACCAATCCACCGAAGGCTAAATAAATCAGGCTGACACTTTGCCCTAAAATTTCCTGACTCTCAGGGACTGGACAGTCTTCGCAGTCTTCTGGGCCTTCAGGGGTCAAACTCAAGGATTTCTG